TTTATTCTGGTTAGAATGTGTGATTTATCCCGTTTAGACACAATAATTTATTCTGGTTAGAATGTGTGATTCAACCTGTTTAAACTTTGCTTAAGTTGTTTGAAAGTTGCATGCCATTTTTAGTTGCTATCCAGTTTTGGTTTGACAGTTCTTAAGATTAAGATCTGAGGCAGGAAACTCCATGGCTAGTTTCAGTTTTACAAGGATAATTCACATACAAGTTTGCTTTCAGATAATTCATGCTCAGTTTCACTCTGTGATTATTCACACACAAGTTTGCTTTCAAATAATTCATGCTCAGTTTCACTCTATGATTATTCACACACAAGTCTTCTTTAAAATAACTCCTGCACCATTTCACTTTCAAGTAATTCATGCACAGCTCTGAAAGCCTTGGATAATTCATGTGATTTATGCTGGTTTGTGACAAATGTTATAGTTACTTTCCGATATTCCACACACACACATTCAATCTTGGATAATTCACATGCACTACAATGTATACATAATTTCATTTTTTCTCCATTTACACCCATATGACGTGATCAATGCTCCGTTTTTTTTATATATGTAGAATAATGACCAAAAAGTAGCCAGTGAATAAGTTTTAAAAGTAATCGATTCAAATTATTTGCTCCAATTAATCGTTTTCAAATAGTAGAATTTTGTTCTTCCATTAATATTTATTTCCATACTCAACTGTTGATATATGAAGAAACTTTCATGATATAACACATTTTTCTCAGTACAGATTGAGATAGTGTTTTCCCAACACTGTTTTTGTTTCAATAATAAGATTTATAATTGTTACATGGTTTTATTGTTTATTCGTGGAAGGTGGTATGTTTGTAACATACAGGACATTGATGGTTTTGGTGGGGTATTTGAAGTAATAAATTGATATAAAACATTATGAAGGTTTAGCTAGTAAGATGAACATATGGACTATATTTTACGTGAAGTTCTGCCTTGGTTCTCAGTCTTAAGAACTGTAAAACTGAAACTAGCCATGGAGTTCTCCTGCCTCAGATCTTAATCTTAAGAACGATAATTCACACACAAGTTTGCTTTCAGATAATTCTTGCACAGTTTTATTCTGAATAAAATTATACAATAACACAGCTATAGGCAGCTTACATTTAGAAAAATTCACGAGGGATTTTCAATGTATATTTGTTTGCTTCTTATTCTTTTTGTACCCTAAATTATTTGTGTATGTGTGATTTACCTTGTTTCTAGCTACATATTCTAATTTTATAATAATGTTGACAGCTTTGGTAAGTGTAGAAAAATGATTTTAGTAGCACACTATCTTTAAGTTTTTGTTCATAACTTTCTTAGAATGTTATAGTTTTCTTATTTTTTGCATTTAATATTATCATAAAACTTGTCTTATGCATCTTATTCCTAAACGTTTTTGTCATTTTTAAAAGCTGAGAGAAATGATTTTTTCATTTCTAAGAATTGAAATTCTTCTTTTTCTTGCTTTTTTTTTTCAGCACATGCAGAAGCTTTAACCAGTATACTGCTTATGTTAAAAAAAGAAAAGTAAGTTAGATATTGAATTTAACATTCTATGCATTTTAATCTGGATTAGCTTTTTATAACTGTTTGAATTGGTCTAACACCAGTATAATTTCATCGTAAATTTACTGTATATGCAAATGTACTTTGTAATTAACATGATTTTTTGCTCTATGCAGTTACAACCTATAGAAATTTTAAGTGAACTTAGAATTTTATGGGAAATTGGGACTGAGCAAGTTTCAAACTCCTGAACTCTCTAACTGAACAGCAAGTTAAGCTACTAAATCTCAGTTTTTCATGTCATTTGTTACTAAGAATAGAAGTTAGGCCAGCTTGTAAAGTTCAGAATGCACTGATTTGCAATTTTTGATTAGATTTTAAGGTTTTAAACTACAAAACTATGTATATTGGCACATTGTTGTACAAATTTAGAATTATTTTAAAAAAGTGAAAATTCACATCAAGAACTATTAAAATGATTTAGATAATTAAAAGCAGTAACAAGATAATGAACTGAATCAAGTACTTTATTTGTTTTAGACCATCAGCGGAGTTGCTTAGACATATTATGAGTCGTCAGGTTCGATCAAATGACCATTTTGTTGTGTCAGTGCTTAAGTTTTGGTCCCAAGAACATGAAGAAAAACTAGCTGAGCTTGTAACTTCTCAACTATCTAAAGTTGCATCTATAACAAACAAGCGAAAAAGGTGGGTTGTCTTTAGTAAGTTATTGAGGATTTTTTCACAATATATTTTATTATTATGAATCCTCTTGATTATTTTCAGTAAATGATGTTTCAACATTGTTTCTGAAGTGTGAAGCTTTTTTTTCTTTCTCAGCTCCTGGTTTATTGTAGTGATTAATTAGAAGGTTCATGTCTTGAAGGATTCTTTTGTTGCAAATAAATTTTCAAATATATATATATTCATATTGTGTGAGTAATTTTGCTTGTAATGGAAGCCATAAATTTTATCACAAATGTGACTGTGGTATTTTAGGAGAAACTATGAAGTGTAGGCTTATATTAAACAGATTGTTAAATGTTTTCTGTTATATACAATATCTATTTAATTTTAGAAATCAATCCATCAAGTCTCAAGTCCCATCTATTGATCAAACATTAGCGCATTTAGACCAGCTTCGACAGCATTGTAAACAAATATCGTGTAAGTTTTTATCCAAACTCTTTTTAAAATACCTGAGAAATTACAAATCATCTAAAGGTATGAGTTTAGTGCTTTTGAAAAATATTCTCTCAGTTTTCCTGTAGTTAATTTACTTTTGTTTTGTGATCCTTTAATTTGAACATTCAGAAATCCTTTAATATTCTCTGTTATTCTAACTTTTTTCTCTCCGAATTCCATTTTCTTTTAATTTTTTATAGTATTCAATTAACTTGGCCATATAGAAATCCTAATAATTATCCTAAATACGTTTATCACCTGAAATCTCCGTCCACTATATTTTTGAGTAATGTAATAATAAAACGTCTGGAAAATCAAATCTCCCTTTTTTAGGAGTAATTCAGTAATTCTTATTTCTGAAAATCCTAATACTATATCCTTTTGAATATTCTAAAAATTTAAAATCTGAAAAATTCAATCACTGAATTACCTAATTATCATGTAGAAGTTCTTACATCACTAAGTTACAGTTTATTATAATAACTTATTAATTGAAAGTCTAACACATATAGCTTTATAATGTAATCAAATAGAATTGTCTAGTGAAAACTGCCAATTGCTATCTCCTTGAATATTGTAGAAATTACAACTTTAAGAATCTCAGTATTTATCTGGGAGTATTCTGGTTCATTATTTTAACATCTAAACATTCTAGTTACTGACTCCTTGAGTTTTAGAAACTCGTATCTTCTGACATTATAATCTTTCTCTCTTATCTATTCTCTGACATACATCTGGAATTTCTTATTCCTCTTTTAGGAAAAAATTTTTTTTTATAACTTGAAAAACAAATTTAAAAAATATTTTTTTATTTAATTTCTGTTTGTAATTATTTTTCTGTAAACTAATGCTTTTTTCCAAAATAACAAAATATTCCGTTATAATATTTAATTTTGTTGCGTGTTTCAGTCTTCAATCAAGAAACAATACAATCCTCTTTATTTCAAGTCCAACTTTCATGCAGTGAAGCACAGAAAACCAAGTAAGTTAACTATTTGATCCTCATTTATTTATATCCATCTTTATTTACCATCGGGAAAATAAAGACACATGGTGCTCTTACGTGTGTATATTGTAAAAACATAATTTTTTAGTGAAATTTATTTTAACCCCAAATTCATGACTTAACCAGCTCCATATTAGTGACAGATCTGGAGTATGTAACATCTGAAAAGTTTATATACTTACAAAAAATATTAGTTCAAGCCCAGTTAACAAGTATTGTTTACAAAATAAAAAAATGTATAGAGCTTCCTCTGCCTGGAGATAACATATTGAACTACTAGCTCAGATCTTCATCGGTTCGTCTCCATTAACCGTTTTTAGAGGAAACTAAAATATACTATCGGCTGCTGTTTTTAAATAATTTCAAGTGAAACTTTTTCAAATTCTATGAACAGTGGATTTACAGTTTTAATTATTGCTGAGTTAAAATACAATAAACGTCTATGGGTTTTTTAGTTCTTAAAGTAATTCTTAATTTACATAAATGATAAATGAGGAAGCAATGTACAGTAAAAATTTCAATTAACTGGAGATTAATAAGCTAATTTAAGACACTTTAATATTTCTGTTGACTTGCTTGTTAAAACATAAATATACCATTTATTTTTTGTTACTTTTGCCCAGCAATTATTGGTCAGTGTAGAAGTAATTATTACACTTCTGTATCTTATAAGTGGGCATTAGTGACGTTATTATCATGTTTCTTGGTAGGTTTAGTGATCTGTTTGCTCTAGCAGAAGAACTAGATAGTATAAGAACGGGTAAATCAACTCGAGGAAAAGGAAAGGGAGCATCTAAAGGGTCTACAAAATACAAACAACCGGCACTCAGTGTTAGTGATGGTAGATCCTCCGATGTAAGTGAAAGTATACAATTAACTTATTATGGATCAATTATCAGACATTAATGGTAGTTATGATAAAATGAGATTTAACTGAGTTTTTATAAAAATCGAATATGTTTTCAATTCATTAAATGTTTTTAAGAACAAAAACTAAGTAAAAGTAATTCTTCTCAAATACTTTTTTTTTAGGATTTTCACTACCAAGCTAAATTATGGTTTTTATTATGAAGTAAAGACTCGTGGTGTTCAGCATATTGTAGCATTTAAATGTCATAAAAAGAGTATTGTGAAGAAGAACTTAAAAGTTATAAAACAGAACATGATGAATGAATATAGATTGTGTAATTGTGCTTGAGTATAAGTTATAATCATGGTTGTGACTGAAGATCTTTTAATATTATTTACATTTTACACAACAGCTTGCTATAAATATATTTTTAACATCAGGATGAAGAAATGCTTAAACCAAAACCAAGGAAAAAGAAAAAAACAGCTCTAGTTGGATCTGACAGTGACTGAAGCCAAATCAACGAAAGAAGGACAACTTTCAGACTTCCGTAGAAGCTCTCATGCTTCTAATGTCCAAGAAGTTTCCCGTGAGGGATCATCGTGAAGGGGATGAGAATGTGGATGATGAGATCACACTCTCCTTTTACAGTGAGGAGTGGCCACACAAAGGGCAGCAGCATACGGAGAGGCCACACAACGGGCAGCAGCACACTCCTCCCGAGGAGAAGAAAAGGCATCAACCTAGTCAATTCGGGACAAGAAATCAACTGTCTAAATAAATAATAACTTTAATTTATTACCAAGGGTTTTTTAACTGTTATCTTTTATTTTTAAAGGTGGTTTGTTTAGTCATTTCATTATAGTTTAAACATTCTAACCAAGCAAAGAGAGTATTGTCTTAGCTAAGAGGAGGAGAGTTTAAGTATACATGTGTGGTTGTAAGTTTCAGATTATGACTATGACACAGCTGTATGTCTGAGGTGTAGATACTACACAGACTGATGAGTTATTGCTTTTGCACAGTAAACTAAGATTTGGACTTCAGCTGTAATGAACAGTTTGTTTAATTTGGATGTTGCTTACAGCACTGTCAAACAAAAATGTGTGGTTTTTATCAAGAGAAATCATCTTTTTAAGTCAAAACTTTTATAGAAAAAGCAAAAGAATTTTTATGCAATTGGATAAAAAAATACATACTTTATCATTGCATTTTGTTTCTTTTGGAACGTCAAACTGGACAACCATTAAAAATAATGTTAAAATAAACCAGTGAACAAAAAAGTAGAAGCTACAAAGTGTAAGGTTACACTTACCATACTTGAGTAAAATAAGTGTAACTTACTTCAGAAATAACCTCAACATTTTTAGTGCTTAAAAATTTTACACTTGGATATAATGTAGATAAAAAACATGTTTTGTGTACGTTGTTGGTTTGTCCCATTAATGTGTGTGTAATTTAATCAGATGCCTTCAAGTTTCCAGCCCTCTACCGACAATAAATAAAATCAAAAATGTTAGATTAAGGGTAAAAAAATTTGAACTCTTGACAAGAACATATTTAATATTTTTTTACTTGTTTTTCTCTGGAAAAGCTTTATTGTACTATTGGAAAGGGCTAAAATTAAAAATTCATACATGATACAAAAACTGGATTTCCAACATTTTAATTGTTCAGTGTTGTTATTCATTGACTATGGATTTCTATCTGACTTGTATAGCTCACTCTTGGATCATCCACATACAGTTTTATTTCAAGGTTATCTATACTGTTTCACTCTAGGGTATTCCATACTCAATTTTGCATTCAGATAATTTTGCTCTTAAATAATTCACACACAAGTTTGCTTTCAGATAATTCATGCACGGTATCACTCCACGATAATTCACACACAAGTTTGCTTTCAGATAATTCATGCACGGTATCACTCCACGATAATTCACACACAAGTTTGCTTTCAAATAATTCATGCTCAGTTTCACTCTGTGTGTAGAGTACTCCCACTTTGTGAAAGTTTGGGTAAATATTACACTATTCCTGAACCTTTGGAATCACTATTTATTGTATGATCATTACTTCAATTAGCCCTAAATATGTTGAGTACAGTATATAGTAAGTTCACACAGGTTAATTAACAAACTAAACTAAAATTAGTTTAGTTTGAGAAATTGTCCACTTTTAAAGATGTACACTTTAAACCATAACTTTTAAACTGAATATATAAATAGTCTTTCAGGAAATCTTTAATCTCTCCTCGTCCAGCCCAACTAACAAGTCCTGGTACTGAACGAAAGGCATCTTGGACAGTGACTCAAAGAAAACAAGGAACAGATCTGAAATGCATCTGCAATGGGCAAATTATGAGGTAATTGCAAACACATACCCGAGTAAATATAGTGTTTTCTCCAAGTTCGGTGGTTGTTTTCATGCTCTTTATTATACTAATTCATCACTCAGATTTCTATCTCAATGTATAAAAATTGAGCAGAAACTTACCATCATACTCAAGTTTGGGAAGGATTGGGAGTATGTAGTCCACGGGAATATTGTGAGCTGCTATTAACTGCCACAAACAGAATTGTTCAAATGTTTCCCACTCCAGACTAGCATCTAATAAAAAACTCAAACTGATCAAATGTTGCCTATCTCAGAATTGATAAACAATTAAACTACTGTAAACAATCACCTTTAAATAACAAATAAAATTATATTATTGTAAAGCATTATTTTTAGTTATATCATATAAATAAGAGAATGTTCACAGAAGAATTCCGTCTAACATAAACCATAATATCTACTACAAGTCCAAAATGTATTTATACTACTTAATTAATTGATTTCAACAGTAGTGAAACATACAAAAATCTTCCAAGATTTATTAAACAGATTCTGGATTTTATAAGATAATGAGACACGATAAATAATGGCTGTTGTAAATGTGAGTTTAACATTAAAGACAAAACATGTTAGTTATCTCACCCACAGAAACATAAAAGTCTTATTTCAATATCTATACTATGGCTAGCCATTTAGACAAAACATGTTAGTTATCTCACCCACAGAAACATAAAAGTCTTATTTCAATATCTATACTATGGCTAGCCATTTAGACAAAACAAGTTAGTTATCTCACCCTCAGAAACATAAAAGTCTTATTTCAATATCTATACTATGGCTAGCCATTTAGACAAAACATGTTAGTTATCTCACC